TTTTAAATAAAAAAAAAAAAAAAAAAAAAAAAAAAAAAAAAAAAAAAAAAAAAAAGATTAAAAAATTAAAAAAGTCAACAAAAATTAAAAAAAATTAATGAAAAATTATATTTATATATATATATATATATTTGAGAATTGTAAAATTACAAATATAGTTTTATAAGATAAATATTAAAAAATAATTCTAAAATTGTTAAAATAAAAATCATATATTTTTAACAATTTAAAATATGTAATTTGTACATAAGACAAATTTTGTTAAATTATATTTCTATAAAAAATATAATAAAAAATTAAAATTTTTAATAAATACATTTTTTTAAATATTTATAGAAAATTTTTTATATATTAATGAGAACTTTATGAAAATAAAGATATATTTATTTTATTTAAAAATGAAAATATAAATTCATTTTATAGTAAAATGGATGAAAATATTTGTAAAAAAGAAGAAAATTTGTCTCATTCAGGTGATAATATGAAATATCATGATACTATTAAAGAAAAGATAAATCACCATAAGGAAAATGAAAAAAATGATTTTAAAAATTATTGCCCTTTTATAATTCCTGAAAATCGTAACATAAGTGCAATAGATGATATTCTGAATTCAAAAGAAAACATAATTGAATTTAAAAATTTAATTTTTCGTAATCTTGAAATAGATAAATTAGATTATGATATGTGCAAAATTGAATATAAAAAAAGCCTATTGAATAATGAAGAGTATAAAAATAAGAAATGGTATTTAAATTTTCAACCATTAAATAACATTTCAATTGAACAATATTGGAAATATGAAAAAGTTACTTTAAAAGATATTTTCAGCTCAAATATTAATTTAACTAATAATATAGAATTAAAAAAAAATAAAAAATACCTTAAACATATTGCTAAATGTATTTTAAAGGGGAAACCTCATGAATCATTAATAAAAAACTACTATAAATTTTCTGCAAATTATTTAAATAATTCCGATAAACATTCTAAAAATTCTTTTAATAATATAAACTCTTCCTTTTTAAGTTTAAATTCTAGAACAATAAAAAATTCTCAAAATTTATTAAACTGGAAATTAAAATATTCAAAGAATTTATCAAATTTTCAAAACGTAAAATCAAAAGAAAATGAAAATTCTTCTTCAATTAATTCTATTAATTTGGAAAATAAAAAAAGCAACTTTCATTTTAATCAAGGCAATAGTGATATCCTTTCAAATAATTATAAAAAAGATTTAAAAGATTATAAAAAAAAAAGTAAAAAAAAGAATTTATAGTAAAAATATAAGAGAAAATGTATTTATCTTCTTATATTTTTTACACATTTTCATATAGTTTATCTATTAATTTTATCTATTTTTTTAAATGTGAAATTTTTTTATATTTCCTTATGCAATTTACATTTGCAAAATTTAATATTTGAATTCTTTTATTTTTTTTTTTTTTTATTTTTAATTATTTTTTTTCATTTGCTAGTATTGTTTTAAGAAATGCTTTATATATAAAATTTTTTTTTTTAATTTAAAAAACAAAATTTATTTATATACTTAAATCAACGTGCATATTCCTTTTTAAAAGTATTTTTGTTTTTTTTTTTTTTTTTTTTTTTTTTTTTTTTAAAA